TACCCAGAGAAGTAGGCAGAGATTAAGGAATTTCATTTAGCACGATCCTGATACACCTGTCTTGCTTAATTTATAGATTTTTCCTGAATCTAAATGTAAACTCGTCAGTTAAGGATGCTTTAAATTTGACCCATCTTAAATATACATTACATCAACTTGGTCGAGAAAAGGTCGTCTATGGCGTCCCTTACCGACACTGTCAGCTGTCACCATATCGGCAACAGTCAGGCTTTGAAATTCTTCCCTAATTCATTCTTTCTATGATTTAAATCACCACAGGATTACTTTCTCAATTCTGGTCACAACAACTTCTTGCAAAATTAAAATTAATCATGATGAAGACTATAAATGAGTTCTATTCAATAGCAGCGACTGGTTTAATGGCTTCGCCTGGGCGATCATGTATTTAATCAAAAATTTTCGCTTTTTCAAAAAGTGCCTAGAGCACTCTGGCCTTTACATTCAATTTCGCCACACCACAGATTAGTCTGAACAGAATAACACACACTGACCAAAAATTAAAGTTATTTGTATCTAAATGGATGCAGATACCCTTAGCTCTATATAGCACAGTCCAACAAATATAATACAGTTACTTCTATATTACAGACACACACTTGTTAATGTTATTAATTAATGTATGGGTATAATATTTGCGGAAGTATACCAAACTATTCATTTTCTATTGCTAGGATCAAAATTATTTGTAGCCTAAAAATCAGTTAGCAAAAATCAAAATTACGTACACAAAATTATTTAAATTTCATCATCGTTGGAGCCACACGCAAATGTAAGTAACGATGCAACAGCATGTACATTCTATTCACGTGTCCACACTATTCCGATGATATATCGAATGTCATTCTGAGCGAGATTAGAATGGCTCTACAGCATCATACAAACGGCAAGTCCCCGTACAAGGATGGAATTACATCGGAACTTCTGATAGTGGGTGGAAAATCTATACTTAAAGTCCTTCAGAAGCTCATCAATTCTATCCTCTACGGTGACACTACTCGTACTCCAAAGGCGTGGAGCAGTAGTGTGTCTTGTTACATAAGAAAGGCGACAACATTCTCTTGAAGAACTACGGACCGATTTCCCTTTTGAGCCGCGTCTACGTCAGTGGTGAAGCTTCCATAAAAGCTGAAAAGCCGGGCTTGCCATATTAAAACTGAATCAATCAATAATATCAACTAATAAAATAACTCGTAAAATGTTTCAAACTATTTCAAATTTCCCGCGCACTCCACTGTTCGACACACGTCGACCGATGACCTCGTATTTCCTTAGCGATACTGTTGCCGTCATAAAAAATGAGTTTTAATAGAGCGATTAGTTGTCTCCCTTGCTCGTGAGGGCTTTTTACGAGGCTTTCGAGAAGATGATCGCTCTCTTTCTAACCTATGGCAAAATATTCTATAATGAAATATAACTACGATTGTATATATAGCAATTAGTATGGAGATTTAAAGCCAGGCTTTTGGGAATAAATTTGTTAAAAGCGGAGGCGCGCGGGCAATACGTTTGCAAGTTCATTTCACGTTTCAATGTTTATTTACTCTGTGTGCATATCTTAAGCGATTTAATATTACGAGTCCAAAATTAATGCTTTTAAAGATTTTTAATGAAAATAAAGGATAATAGTGTTCCTTGTGATGAATTGAAGTGTGTTAAAGTGCTAATTGGAGAGGAAATCTTTAAACTTTGCTGAGATAATACACAAGGTTAAGAGTGTATTTCAGACTTACCTATCAATTATCGCAATTAAAAAACAGTTATTGGTACAATTAAGACGTTCACCAACATTTTACGTGGACGTAATTAAATCTTTCCCTAAGTAAGCGAGGCGATTCCACTTATCTTATCTCTTATCCATTAGAATGTAAATAATTTTTTTTTAATTTTGTACATAGTTTGTTTGTACTTTGTTCATGTTTTACTTTTGTTCATGTATTGTATTGGATGTAAATATTTTTTTCTTTCGCTTAAACAAACCCAAACGGCTTTCTTCAAAGCCACCGAAGCTATGCAATTGTTGATATGTAATACAATCTATCTAGCAGTGGTATGCCTTCTGTGTGCTTTGTTAAACACGTCCTTGACAGCACTGAATATAAAACTGAAGCGTGGAGACATATCAAGATTGGTGTATTTTTATAAAACTGCTAAAAACAACAATCTATATTTTTATCAATTTATATCTTGGGCTTGCCCTAGCTTGGAGCTCCAGCTTCGCCACTGGTCTACGTACTGTTTTCTGGAGTCATTACGAATTGTCTCGCACGCAGACTAGAAGACTTCCAGCCTCCTGAATAAGCCGGTTTACGAAAAGGCTTCAGCACCATGGACCACATATCCTTACGCAAGTTGCACAAAAGTCCGAAGAGTACAATCTGCCACTTTGTATTTCGTATGTGGACTATGAGAAAGCCTTTGATTCCGACGAAATTTGGGCGGTGCTGCAGTCCCTTCAGCGTTACCAAGTTGACTGTTGGTATATCGAATTCCTGAAGTATTTGTACAGTAGGACAGAACCAGAGTACAAAACCTATCAAATTGCAGAGAAGTATAAGATAGGATTACGTAATATCCCCGACGTTTTCAAGCTACTGGACTGGAAAGGATACGGTATTAAAGTCAATGGCGGGTACATCATTCACCTTTGATTTGCCAACGATATAATCCTTATGGCAGAATCGTTGGAGGACCTTAGCACTATGCTCAATGACCTCAATGGTGTCTCCCAACGGATAGGTCTTAAGATGAACATGGACAAAACAAAGATCATGTTTAATGTCCATGTCACACCTATGCCGGTAGTTGTTGGGAGCACTATGCTCGAAGTTGTTGACGAGTACGTTTACCTTGGGACAAATAGTCCGACTAGGTGCTCAATGACCTCAATAGTGTCTCCCAACGGATAGGTCTTAAGATGAACATGGACAAAATATTCTGGAGGAGGCCTATGTTTAGCAGCGGACTTGTGAAGGGCTGTAATGATGATGATTATAATGATTTGAATTTTATCTCGAGTTCCAAAATACTTTTTATTCAAATATACAATATATTAAAAATATTTAAAATTAAATGTACAAAATTGCTTAAATTTCAATGCAACTTACAAACTTATTTTTTGTAGTCAAACAACGGCAAAAAAATTAAATACGAAAGCTTTAATTTTTTTCAAATGTCTTTAATAGTTTTATTTTTTATTTAGAATGTTTACATGATGTTTTTTAATATTCCATTTTTCTCTAGTCTATAGATATCTTGGAGCCCTAAGAAGCCTGATAGAGTAAAAAACCTACCGGCTGACGTTTGAGAGAACAGAATATAAATAACTATTCAAACTATACCTCAAAAACAGTGAACATGTAACTGACAGTTCTTTCTTACACATATATACTACTACTATAGAGTACTCAGGACTTGTACTGGACTATATTTATTTTATATATATTTATTTATTTATATTTTAAAAAAGACTAGTACCTCTTAGACTAGACTAGTACCTCTATCCCTGAGTCAGTTGGTCCCGTAAACAAAGCGTTGCGACAAATAGCATGTAGCGCTGCATCAGAGCTAATTGTAATTAAAGTTGCTATATAACGGTTACTAACTAATATAACCTAACATTGAATGTTTGATAGCATTACAATCTCACGGGATGCTTAACTACGGGCATATGAAATTGTATGGCTGCTCCAATGCGTTACAAAATTAGCACGTAATAGTGACCTGAATAGAAGCGTATGGATGTAAATGCCAGAACAAATCCGTATGGTTTTATCTTCAATTACAGACGTGATACATCGTATTAAATACATACATTACTAGAAAGAGAAAAACATACACAAATTTCCATTAACGCTAACTTGTTTTTATTTACTTCGCATCACGTTAAACACATTTTGTTGTTTTTTTTTTATCAAAACAATTTTTCAAAACAGTTAATTCCATTTACAGAAAAACTCCTTAAATATTTCAAATATTTATGTATGATAACGTATTTAAGGCTAATAGACTATTTAAAACTGAATTTCTAATGAAAAAATATGTACAAACATTTATTTCTTTTACGGGAGTAGCGTAACTCAAATTCAGCAAATCGATTTTGTGAATTTAACTGATTAAGCAAAATATTACTAGTATGTTTTTGGTACATAGAAAACATAATACAATGGTGAATGTTAAGTAACCCGAGTCGACGAAATACAATTAAGACCTTTGTCACACTAAGCTGTATTTACGTGACACGTGTCGAACAAAGCGACCACGCGTCCTTTCCGTTTCTTTATGTAATATACATGTGTGTTCATGTCTCTCCTTACCTATGTCGTAACGCGACGTCAATATCAGACAGTGTAATAAACATACAATGTCCAAAAGACGCGCTAAACAGATAAGGCTGCGTAGGAAATTTTCTTATTCAGATCGATTTCAATGAAGTTTCTAAGAGTCAATGATATGCGCATAAAATATACGTAAGTAACTTTATGCGCATATATTTGACTCCACAAGAAACCTAAAATTGTGATAATAACAATGACCTTATTATGTTTCACAAGCCAAATTCGATATTCTTCTTTGTATAATAGGCTTCGTAAATTCAATGTCAAGGCATTTTAAAGAATACACTTATTTATAGCAGAACATATCTCCAAAGCATATCCTATAATAGCCCACTCAACGAAGACCAAAAATTGCCAAATAGGGGAAATAACTCGTGTAAAAGCGATTTTTGGCATAGTTGTAGGGAATAGTGTCTTAAACAACATACTCAAAATACTGATGAATGGTGGTGAAGCTAACTGGTAGGGGAGGGGGTGTAAAGGTCCCTTTTTTAAGTTTTTCTTAAATAACTCGTAAACGGTGGCTCATAGCAAAAAAAATTCTTCCACTCAGGTAATTTACATAAAATTCTCTACAAAAAAGGTTCTATACACTTTTTCGCTGGGATCAATATTTAATGAAATATTAAAGAAGAAAAGCTAATTATGATCAATTCTCGCGTTTTAACGTCTTGGCTCAAACTACTTGCGCGCACGGCGCACTCCTGTAGCGCCGGGTGGAAGGGCACCGCCAACCAATCACGACGCACCAGGAGAGTGGCGTGAGTGAGAGCGTGGTAACGTGTACTCAGTATCTCAGTAAAGTGCGCGCCGCCAGTGAAGTGGTTGTGTGTACGCTGAGTTTCGCGCCAAAATCGGTCAGAGGTTAAAACGAGTACATCGCGCCGCGAGTTGTGATTTTTTTTCTACGTGGCACTACAACAAGTCGGAGAAGTGTTTAATTTGTGATGATGTAGTTGGAATGGACTTGTGTAAAGTCGAAAATAAGGCATAATAAAGGCAATAAGGGATAATAAAGGCAAGCGCGTTAAGAAAAGATGGGAAAGAAACATGTTTAAGGAATAAGACGAGTAGTGTTGTTCACAATGCTTGCAGACGACAATACGTTAGAAGTGACTCAATAAAAAGGTTTTTGAGAGAACAAGCTCTTTCAGAGCAACCATCAACATCACGTGGTGTCTCTTCTTTGCGTTCAGGACAAAGTCAGTTTGATTTTAAAACAAAGTGTTTTTTTTGCCCAGAAGAGCATGACGAGGAGGCGGAGAGAAAAAAACCTTATTCTAAGCGTCGAACCATTATCAAAGTTCGTACGACTACGTTTCACAATTCCGTGCTTCTTGGTGGGCAGGAAAGGAACGATGAGTGGGGTAACGACGTAGTAAGACGTATCTGCACTGTTGGGGATCTACATGTACTAGATGCTATATATCACGTGGATTGTTACAAAAAATTCACCCTTGCCACTCTACCTTCAAAAAGAAAAGCTGGGTGCCCCATTGATGAAGGGATTTCAGAAGCAATGAACGAAATCTACGATTACATTGAACAAAAAAACGATAACTGTCAATTTTCTATGGACGATTTGTTGGGACAGATTACGGGAGAACCACCAACTGTGAAAACCATCAAAGCCAGAATGAAGGAAAAATATGGGGACCAAATTGTTTTCAGTACAACTCGCACCAAACAAACAGTCGTCTGCTTGCATGCAACTGGTGAAAAATTTTAAACGACGCGTGGTACACGTCGAGGTGTACTGATGAATAGGCAGAAAATGAAAGGATTGTACGAAAAGCCGCTGAGATTATCTTAAAAGATATTGAATCTATGGCTTACGACAACAGTGCCTATCTTCCTTTAACTAGCTTCTGCAGGGAGGCTGAAGAATTGATACCTCAATCTCTCGCAGTTTTCACAGACTGCCTTGCAAAGAAAAAAAGGTCACAAGAGACTGTGAAAAAAATGACAACTATAGCTCATACACTTATTGCTGCAATTGCCCTAAATGTTTCATATCCCCTATTTTATCCAGCATTGCTCTGCTTATATACCGAAAATATGGATCCAAGAATTTGGTCGAAGTTGGGATTGAGTGCCTCTTATTACGAGGCTCAGCGGCTAGAGCTCTCCACCATCCACCATACGGAAGAGCCTATTCCAATTGGAACGTTTATTCAGTTCGTCTTTGACAATGGGATTAAGTGCCTCTTATTACGACGCTCAGCGGCTAGAGCTCTCCACCATCCACCATACGGAAGAGCCTATTCCAATTGGAACGTTTATTCAGTTCGTCTTTGACAATGCTGACTTCAATGTATCCACTCTCGATGGTCGGAATACCTTCCACAGCATGGGAGGTATCAAATGTATTACACCCACCAACACTCTCCATGCATCCACAAATGTCAAAAGGTTGAATTCTGCTCCTCCCCAGGAAGAAGTGGGCCAGATGGGAGTTCTGGAGGTGCAAATATTCGAGGGTAGGAGAACCAACGCATTACAGCAAATTATCATAGAAGACTTGAGCTTTCTGAAGCCCATCCCTTATAACATATTCACACCCACTGTTCAAGATCTCTTGTGGATGAGTGGTAAGTGGCTCCAGGAGGTGGAACCTACTTCGAAAGTGCCTAACATTCCAGAATGTAAAGGTTTTATGCAATTGACGAGTAAATTAATTAACAAGGAAACAACTTCGGTAACTTTTCTTCCATTTATCAATTCTCCACCAAATGAGTACAGCACTATACGCACAGCCTTACAGTATGCTTTAAAAAAGAGTCAGGAGGTAGGAGCCACCGCTTGTTTCGTAACTTTCGACCAGCCTTTGTATTTAAAGGCCAGGGAAATCAGCTTTGGGAGCATTATGGTGAGACTTGGTGGGTTTCACCTACTGATGTCCTTTTTGGGTTGCATTGGCCACACAATGGCTGGATCAGGACTGAAAGATGTATTATGCCAAATTTTTGCCGCTAATTCAGTTGACAAGATGTTAACAGGACATGCCTACAGCCGAGCCGTTCGAGGACATTTGCTTGTTCAGCTTGTTTTAGCTCATATTATTCTGGATGGAGCCAATGTATCAAAAGAAGAGAAGAAAGACATCTTGACTATGATGATCAACATGGAAGAATTTACTCCAGACAAAGTTAAAGAGAATGCTTCCTTGATGTCAACTTTGAAAAAATTTCAGTACCATCTGGAAACCCTTAAAGAGAATGGGCCTACCGCTGCTTTGTGGGTGCAGTATTTCAATATGGTTATCCTCATGAAGAAGTACAACATGTGTACAACAGATAATCCCATTCTTCCATGCAAGTTGACATTTCCAATACGCGAAATGTGCCCATATCTATGTGCAAGACATGATGCAACTGAAAAACAGCCATCCCCAAACGTACAAGGAGTTTGCAGAAAAAGGCTTCTTCACCATTAATCGCACAGGCACACCTTGGGCAGGAGTTTGGTCGGATATGGTTATAGAGCAAACTCTCATGCTCTCATTTGCTAGTAGATAATAGCATGTTGATTACCGGCTGTCACGGCAACAGAGAGATTCACGAGATCGAGCTAAGATTCGGGAATGGTTTAGTGAACATCTCCCATTTCCAAAGTCGAATTCGCTAATATCTCTCTCAACGGGCATCCTGGGAAATTCCAAAGTAAACTGCCACCAAGCCCTAGATATTGGCACCAAAACGATGCAAAATTTCATTGGCAGAAAATTCAGTGACATGAAGAAGTCTAAGAAGAATGTGGTTTTGTCACTAGCCAGTATGAGCAGTAGCATTAAAATCAATGGTGAGACAGTTACTGTTAACCCTTTAACTATTTTCCAATGAACTGTAATAGCAAAAAAGAACGACGAAGATGTTGCAGACCTTTTGACTTATGTACTAACCCCATTCTCCATGGCTCTGTTCCACGAGGGTGTGATGCGAAAAGGGAAGAAGTCATCCCTCTACGATGTTTTACCAGTAGAGAATAACGCAGCTCTCGATCTCAACCAAACCACCAATGTGGTAGATGGCGGTTTCCTACTACACCGTATGAAATGGAAACCGTCCTCCAACGTTTCTTCGATTTGCCATCAGTATATTACCTACGTATAGAAACATTACGGTGCAAACTGTATGGTGGTTTTTGATGGTTACAGTGATGTCAACAGCATAAAACGAGCATAGCAGAAGCGACGAGGTATGACTAAAACGTCGGTTGACATTAATTTTAAAAGTTGTCAAATACTGTAATATAAATTTATATTTGAGCTAAATACTTACGTTGATCTTATTACTTATTTTACAGATACAACAATACGGTACATACAAGCCGGTGACAACCAACGATCCAGTGGCACCTGAGTCCATTCTCAACACCATATTTTGTCGATGCACGACTGGGTGTGGGGTGCGTTGCGGCTGCCGGAAAGCAAGAATTGCCTGCTCCAGTGTCTGCGGTGTATGCTCCGGCTCATGCACTAACGGAGCCCCCATCGAAAACACCGTCGACGATGATGTTGATGATGATATTTTAGATTCAGAAGATAATTAGATTTTTTTTAATATATTATTTCTGCCTACTTAAATAAATGTAAGTTTATTTTATTATTAGCCATCTTCTTTCCTTCATATCGCATTAAATATTGATCCTAGCGAAAAAGTGTGTAGAATCTTTTTTTATATAGAGTTTTATTTAGATTACTTGAGTAAAAGAAATTTTTTGCTATGAGCCACCGTTTACGAGTTATTTAAGAAAAACTTAAAAAAGGGACCTTTACACCCCCTCCCCTACCCGTTAGCTTCACCCCCATTCATCAGTACTTTGAGTATGTTGTTTAAGACACCATTCCCTACAACTATGCCAAAAATCGCTTTTACACGAGTTATTTCCCCTGTTTTTCCTTCATTGAGTGGGCTATAAAGCATCTCATTGGGTAGGCGATGATGTGAGATTTGATTTTCTGTATTTGTAATGTTTTTTACATAGTACATTATATATTTTGTCGTTTGCTTTGCTGGCGATAACCTGAGCGGCCATCGTCAAACGATTAATGGTAATTTAATACGTATATTCAGAAATTTTGAAATTGTTTTTAGTGCTTAAATAATAACGTGGTAGAGTCACGCTGCAAATATATTAAAGTTGTAGCACGAGTGGATCCGCTCGTCCGGAGTAAGACTATGCTCTCACAGAATACCAGCGTAAAAAAGTAGCTCAATACCACTGATTCGTATGGTAAGTGTAGAGAGTGGAGACCCTTTTTACTGGAAACGAGGCATTCCATCTTAGTCCTCAGGCGTGACAACGCATCTGCATTTTGATTCTTAATCGAGGATAAATGTAGATTTCTATGGGTCACAGCATCCACTTACTATCGGGTGGACTGTGTGCTCGTTTGTCAACCTATTGTATAAAATATCAAGCCATTCAAATTCTTACACTCCATTTATGATCATCCATATCCATCTCACCACGTGCGATTTACAAAGCGGCAACCCGTGCTTATTGCTATGGTTATATGAACAAATATTTTTATAATGTTTTATAATGTCCTCCACCAAAACAAAAAAAAATAGGAGCTACTGATTTTGGCAAATTAAATAAATGATTTTTTATATTGACGCGAACACTACACATTGATTAACTACTTTTACGTCCGTCGTGACCATGGGTGCTGTAAAGCACCCGAAACGTCGGGAATTAAAAATAGAACAAATTAAGTACGATAAAATCCGTAAAAATAGTTTTAATCTATGTTTTCTTATATTTACGGATTTTATCGCATTTTATTTTAACTTTTTTGATTCCCGTCGTTTCGGGCACTTTCCAGCGCCCATGGTCAAGAGGGGACTGATGTGTTTGACGTCCCAATGTCACATTTAACGAAGGACTGACACTATTAAATCTGATATAATGGTTGGGACGATCCTGAACATATTGACATACTGCAGACTTCCCGGAGCGTCGGTGCATCACGTTATTGATATGTTCTTTCACGCGGGTTATTATGGATAATTTTGTTTGTTCTACGTAAGAACCAGCACATCAAGCAAGTTTTGGACGACAATAAGCCTCGAGTCCAGCGCCTCCGTCACAGTGATCGAGTGAAACCGGACACAGTCGAGCGTGCCCCTGCTGTATGTACTATCATATTATTACAGAGGAGTCACAGACAACATTGACTACATCTCGAAACGAACTTCCATAAGAACATACTACAAGCCGTCGAAGAAGATTTGTCAGTTCTTACCATCCGTCAAGTGTAATATTCTTCTACAAGATGCAGGAGTGTACAAGCTCGAGTGTGAATGTGGTCTCTCTTACATAGGACAAACAAAAAGATCCATAAAAACCCGCGTGAAAGAACATATCGCTGATGTGATCTGTACTCCTGTTCTCTCTCACCTTATACCCAATTTCGCAAAAGAACACCGATTCCTATCAAGGATGATTCGCGAGGCTATTGAAATTAAAACACATCCTACTTTCAATAGAGAAGATTGCCTGATACTACCATCTGCATGGGATCTCATAATTAATAAAATTAAATCCAAACGACTGCAAAACTTCAAGATACTGTATGCTCGTTCTGCGTAAACCAAAAATTTAGTATCTAAAAGTTGAAGATAGCCTTCTTTAGCTATGACATCGGGACATAAAACACTTCAGTCCCCCCCGTCCCCCCGGTGACCATGGGCGCTGGAAGGTGCCCGAAACGTCGATAATCAAAAAAGATAAACGCGATAAAATCCGTACAATTAGTTTTATTCCAAATTCAATAAAGTTAATTAATTGTCAAACTTTGAAAATATTTCTTATATCTAAATTTTCTGTAAAAAAGATGTTATAAAGCTAACTAGCCAAAACTGGAACAAAAAATATAAATATTGAACCAATCTCAAAAATAATGGATAAACAGCAGCAATAGATTAACGAGAGACATAATATATCACGGAGTAAATTTAAATAAGATGCAAGAAAATAATAGTAGGTTAGAGCTAGATTAAAAATCATAAAGAGACCACCTGGCACAAATAAGTAAGAAAACAAAAGAGAAATATTCTTACGGAGAATTCATTAAATGTACAAGAGCCCAAGAATATGTGAAAATTAATTAAAAATCATACAAAGTGGTCTCCCAAACCTCATAGGTACATTATTAGCAAACGAAATACCAGACAAATTTCGTAACAATGACACATAGATGTTGCCTTACCGAAACCAAACAATCGTTCACCGTACGCTATCCCAATTATCCCTACGCACTTCTAATGAAATATCTAAAATTATAGGTGACTTGAATTCAAATAAGCGCATAGGTATTGATGATATGATTAAGACTGGTACAAAGGCTCAAAATTTATAAAAATATATACAATTTATGAATTATGATCTAACTGACCGCCTTAACCAACTTTTAAATTTAATAAATTCCATCCTCCTGGATGGAATTTATTAAATTTAAAAGTTGGTTCAAAAAGCTCAAAAACTCCGGTCACTTCAGTGTAAGCTTCGTTACAAAATCAAATACCGGAAACCATCGACCATTTTCAACTGCCAACATTATTTGGAATTCTTGACAAAAATATTTTCAAGAGATTTGACAAATCCTAACCCTTACCCCTTGATGACAACAATTATTATCACTAGGTGTTTTTCTTGATTTAAAATAGGCTTTCGATATAGTAGCCATTTTGTATTACTAAAATACTAGTATCGTTGGAAACGTATACAATATGCTAAAAAAAGGTTTTGAAAATTGGCATCTACCACAGTAGTCCTAACCTCTCGCATGTGACGTATGACAAGGCTCAATTCCACTAAGTTTCTTGTGTCTATTTAAATGAAACATTTCACCAAGCAATACTGCAGAGTCGCCTTGTCTTTTATGCAGATGATAAAATTAGTTTATTTATATTCCGGAGCAATATTAGAGAAATTATGATACTCCATAGCCGGTTTCAAAGCTATCTATTAACAATTAGCACATCTAAACGTTCATACATAATATAATTTCTACAACATAAAAATACACGATAATTCTAAACTACCTAAACCAAGCATTAATTAACGGGAGATTACAAGTCAATCAAATTTTGATTTCGTAACACCGTCATAAAATATTTAAATCTATTTTTGAAAATACATTAATTGTCAAAATTAAGCTTTTTACAAATATTACGTATATGCTTATCTACAAAATAACTCATTAATTTATTTACACGTTATATTCACTACAAATAGTCAATTTAATTAATATGTAAACTGCAGTTTTTTTAACCGATTTATCACATGCTTCTCTGAAATAAAATATTTTAAGGGCGTATATGTAAACTCCGCCAACACCAGACAAATTGCACTGTCCTGACCTGTCAGAAATGAGCACAGCAGTGAAGCATACATACAAGAGTAGTAACTTTAGTAGAGTTGTAACTTTACTATAATTTGCAAAATTGATTTAAGGAAATTCTTTATGTGTCTCAAAATATGATTGACGCGGAATAATCATTTCGATAGTTTTTAACCTATGTGAAGGATATTATGAGACTCCTGACCATTTTCCAGAGAAGATAAAATATAATAATTGTGTATTTATTTTGCTTATTTGTATAGAATAAGGGTAGTAAGCAAGCGCATAGTCCATCTTATGAGAAGTGAATGGTGTGGTCCCACAGATACTGTGATATAAAAACCCGCAACAAAAGGGGCTGATGATCTTCAAACGGCTGCAAAGATTTTCTTTAGTTAGCTAAGAACACTCTCGATACAAAACACCTTCCAAACAAACAAAAACTAAATCTAAATCGGTACAGATATACACTTTAAACATATGGGGTGAAACATAAAACGCCTCGTTACTCGGTATTGGTAAAAGCATCTCTGTTTCCTTCCACACACCACCTTGTACCCTGTTATTATGTGAGAGCATGGTTCTACCCAGTACGTACCGATCAATTCATGGTGCAACATAATAAAGCTAAATCGTGGCCCATGGTAAGCGTTAAAGTTGACCATCATGCTCACAAATTCTAGGCAAAAATCACCGTCCGACTTCAGTATCTAAAATTGATCTAGTCTAGAGAAATATTGGACAAACTTTGCGATTCCGCATAATGTTGATTTGTTTATAACGTTGTTATAAATTTTGTTTAGGTTATTGTCTTATTAATTGTACCTCTGCTATAAAGTAGTTCCGCGTTAGAAGCTATATTATGGATGTGGCAGAAATGGATCAACTGTACCGCCGAAGAACCATCCTCTCGCGGAATACAATCGTGAAATAACTGGTTAATGCTGTCGAATGGTGAGAGTAGGTAGAGAACCGGAGACCCTTTTACTGGAAATAACACTTCCAATCTTAGTCCTCATGTGTTGCAACTGTGACAACACATCTACATTTTGATTCTTCATCAAGCATACCTAGACGTTTGTCTCAGGCCCACAGTATCCACTTACCATCAGTTGTACGGTGGACTCGTTTGTCACAATTATTCTATAAAAAGACCTCGGGACGGTACATATACCATAAATTCCTTAAAATTTACTTACTT